GTACTCTTCTAACCGCTCTGGTGTCTGGCTGCACGTAATCAGCGGCCAGGCGATTTGCCTCAACCTCCCATCCTGCCATAAATGTCTCCTCCTTACTCTCACAGATATTGTGGAGCGCACAGCAAGCAGCAATAACAATGGGGATATTGGTTTCGCTGAGGTCTATCCAAGTCAGTAAGCTGCGCCAGCGCGCTTTTAAACGTCCAAATGCACATTCCACCACCATTCGGCACTTGCTCAGCCTATAGTTAAACAGGTCCTGACTACTGTCCAGGCTGCCTGTGTATGGCTTCATGAGCCATGGCATTAAGGGGTAGGCTGGGTCCCCAAGGATAACGATAGGCATTTCAACATCCCCAACGGTTATTTTCTGGTCCGGGAAGAAAGTCCCTTCCTCCAGCTTTCGAAACAGACCAGAGTGCCTGAAGACGCGAGCATCATGTATCTTTCCCGGCCATCCCACGTTGATGTTGGTGAAACGTCCCTTGTGATCCACCAGGGCTTGCAGCAGCATTGAAAAGTACCCCTTGCAGTTTATGTACTCGGTGGCTTGGTGCTCCGGTGCCAAGATAGGGATATGGGTTCCGTCTATCGCCCCACCACAGTTTGGGAATCCCATTGCAGCAAAGCCATCCACTATGGCCTGCACGTTTCCCAGAGTCACTACCCTTGATATCACCAGGTCTCTCATTGCCCTGGCAACTTGGATCACAGCAGCCCCCACAGTAGATTTGCCCACTCCAAATTGATTCCCGACTGACCGGTAGCTGTCTGGCATTGCAAGCTTCCACAGGGCTATCGCCACTCGCTTCTCAACTGTGAGGGCTGCTCTCATCCTGGTATTCTGGCACTTCAGGGCAGGGGAAAGCAAGTCACAAAGTTCCATGAAAGTGCCCTTACGCATGCAAAAGTTTCGCAGCCACTGGGAATTGTCCCACACCTGCAACACGATGCGGTCCCACCAGTCTGTGCTTGTTTCCCGGGCCCAGAATCAGCGTTCCACGCCATGAACCTGCCCCAGTAACACCAGGATTTGCACATTGCTGGGGCCCGTACTTTGTGAGAGGTCTATGTCCATGTCAATTTCCTCATCACTCTCGTCGCCGCGCTGCAATCACCTCCTCGGCTTGTCCTGGTTTTGCTTTGGCATGTCCTGGCTCTGCATATACTCCAGGACAATGCGCGTGGTGTTCATAGTGCTCATAATTGCCGCGGTGATCTGAGCGGGCTCCATGATCCCAGTGCTATGGCATCTGGTCTGAAAAAAGGCGCGAAACTTACGGAGGGAGGGAGGGGCGAGTGACGACATGGCGTACAGGTGCAGGGAATTAAAATCAACAAAGGTGGCTGTGCATCAGGGAGAAACACAAACAACTGTCACACAGAATGGCCCCCCCAAAGATTGAACTCAAAACCCTGGGTTTAGCAGGCCGTTGATTTCATGGAGGGAGGGGGAAGCAAATGAATACAGAACAAATCTGGTCCATCTATTTTTTATATCTTAAGCTGGCAGCAGACGGTGCAGCATGACTGATAGCCCTTGGCATCTTCTAGGTGCTTGGCAGAAGATACTGTACTACAACTGCTAGCCATCATTGTCAAGACGGTTCAATAGGACTGCCAGCAGGACTGAGTCTCCAGGAGACAAAGCATGTCTGCCCAGGTGCCTCTGATTGAACTGGAATACGACGATGACGGATACCAGTCGTAATACACCATCTGCTGCCAAAAGGCAAGGGGCTGCTGCTGTGTAGTAATGCAGCCCCACGTCTGCCAGCACCCAGATCGCCGATGAAGGCTACCAGTCATACTGCACCGTCTACTGCCAAAAGGCAATTAGCTGCTGCTGTGTAGCAATGCAGTACCACGTCTGCCAGCACCCAGATGACATATGGTGATGCTGAGCTGAGCTGAGCGGGCTCCATGCTTGCCATGGTATGTTGTCTGCATAGGTAACCCAGGTAAAAAGGCGCAAATCGATTGTCTGCCATTGCTCTGACAGAGGGGGAGGGGCCTGACGACATGTACCCAGAACCCCCCGCGACACTGTTTTTGCATCATCAGGCATTGGGATCTCAACCCAGAATTCCAATGGGCGGCGGAGACTGCGGGAACTGTGGGATAGCTACCCACAGTGCAACGCTCCGGAAGTCGACGCTAGCCTCGGTACTGTGGACGCGGTCCGCCGACTTCATGCACCTAGAGCATTTTATGTGGGGACACACACAATCAACTGTATAAAACCAATTTCTATAAAACCAGCTTCTATAAATTCAACCTAATTTCGTAGTGTAGACATACCCTAAGGCAGGTTTTCTAATCCTTTAATCATTCTCGTGGCTCTTTGAACCTGCATCCATTTATCAGCATCCTCCTTGAATTGTGCCCACCAGAACAGGACAAAGTATTCCAGCAGCAGCCTCCCCACTGCCTGATACAGAGGTGAAATGACTCCCTACTCGAGATCCCCCTGTTTATGCATCCTAGGATGGCATTACCTTTTTTGGCCACAGCATCACACTGGGAGCTCATGTTGGGTTGATTATCCACCATAACCCCCAGATCTTTTTCAGGGTCACTGCTTCCCAGGATAGAGTCCCCATCCTGTCAGTATTGCCTACGGCCCTTGTTCCCAGTTGTATCCATTGACATTTAGCTGTATTAAAATGGATATTGTTTGCTTGCGCACAATTTACCAAATGATCTAAATCATTCTGATTCAGTGACCTGTCCTCATCATTATTTACCACTTCCTCAGTTTTTGTGTCATCTACAAACTTTATCAGTGATGACTTTATATTTCTTCCAGGACATTAATAAAAATTAAAAATAGCATAGGGTCAAGAACCAATCTCTGTGGGACCACACTGAAACAGACCCGATCAGTGATGATTCCCCATTTACAGTTACATTTTGAGACCCATCAGTTAGCCAGTTTTTAATTATTTTAATGTGTGCCATAATCATTTTATAGCATTCTAATTTTTTAATCAAAATGCTGTGTGGTATCAAGTCAAATGCCTTACAGAAGTTTATGTCATCACTGTTACCTATATCAATCAAACTTGTCATCTCATCAAAAAAAGATACCAAGTTAGTTTGACAGGATCTATTTTCCATAAACTATGTTGATTTGCATTAATTACTTTACTCTCCTTTAATTCTTTATTAATCAGATCTCATATCAGCTGTTCCATTATCTTGCCTGGGATCAATGTCTGACAGGCCTATAATTCCTTGGTCATCCAATTTACCCTTTTAAAAAAATTGGCACAACATTAGATTTCTTCCAGTTTTCTGGAACTTTCCCAGTGCTCCAAGACTTATTGAAAATCAGTATTAACATTCCAGCGAGCTCTTTAGCCATCTCTTTTAAACCTCTTGGATGCAAGTTATCTGGACCTGCTAATTCAAAAATGTCTCACTTTAGTAGCTTCTGTTTAACATCCTCCAGAAATATTAGTGGAATGGAAAGAGTATTATCATCCCCATATGATGAGAATATATTATCTGTTTTTTCCCCAAATACAAAACAGAAATATCGATTGAACATTTTTGCCTTTTCTGCGTATTATTGATAATTCTACAGTTTCCATCTAGTAATGGACCAGTACCATTGTCAGGATTCTTTTTCCTCCTAGTATATTTTTAAAAACTCCTTATTGTCCTTAACTCTTGGCCATAGATTTCTCCTTGTGTCCCTTGGCTTCCCTTATCAATTTTCTACAATTCCAAACTTCTAATTTACATCCATTACTACTAATTTCCCCTTTCTTCCATTTGTTGTATATTATTTTATTTTTTTATAGCTGCCTTCATTTCCCCTCTAAATCAGGTCAGTTTTTTAACCAGCACAGCCTTCTTCCTCAACTCTGGGATTGTGGCTTTTTGGGCATCTAGTAAGGTGTTCTTAAATGATTCCCATTTATCATAAACATTTTTCTGATTAAATTCTTCCTCCCAGCTAAGAATGTATACAAGAAGCATCAGAAAATGGTCAGTTGAAGTTTTAACAGGAGCTGAAGGTCCCTGTCCTACAATGTGATCTGTGAGGGGTTGACCCTGTGCCCAGGCTGAGCCCCCTTTATTTCTTGCACAGACTTGTCATGTGACTGATCACATCAGCCTACTTTTACCCAAGAAGGCACTCTCTCCAAGTCATTAAACAGTTCCAATCAGCAGCCCGAGCAGTCAGTCACAGGCTGTGTTTTATTCAAAGTCCTTGGAAGCAAGCTCTGTACACAGTTTGTCAGACCTTCTATGTTGATCGATTGATATGCATGCGTCAAAGGGCACAAGCTCGGCAATGTGTCACAGCCTCCAAACGATACTTCTCCAGATCATGGACAGAGCTGCTGTATTTGACTTTCTTTCCCAGCGGAACCTTGTGTGCATTGAACCAGTGAGAAATCTATTTATGATGAGCATGCTCAGTTTTGTAATCTGCATAAAAGTATGAATTAGTGTTTGGCTTTCTATGCTGTGTTTAAGGTTTTAATGTCTGACATGTTTCTGTGCTTTGTTATGCTTAGAATGTTAGTGTTCAGAATCATATTAAAACTTATCAAGGGAAGCTATTAAAAGTAGTAATAATTGTGTTTCTGGATTTTTAATCCTCCCTGTAGATTTTAGGAGCTAAATGCACTGTAACTAGATTCAATCATAGAAAATCAAGTGGGATCCCTGATTTATTTGAGGGAAAGTCCATCTAGAACCAATGTTTGCTCTTGCAGCCTGTTCAAGTTTAATAAAAAGTGTATGACTCCTGTTACGCAATTTTCAGTCCAATACATTATTTTCTATTGTTGGTGGTTGCTAAGTGCTTAAAATCATGTACTATAGTCAAGTTTTGTGCTCTTTCTACTCCTTTGAGCTCAGTGTTATGTTGTTTGAATTTTTTGAATGAAAAACTATAGAAGAGGATTCTAGAATTCTGTGCTCCTAAAAAAGGATTGGCAAAGTTATCGTTAGGTGAGATTGTTTCTCCGTTGTTTGCTTAGATCCTGCTTTGCGGCTGGCCCCACAAACATCTGAGAGCTGGAGAGAAGAGATGAATAAGCTGAAAGAAAGTGGTAAGGCATACATTAGCTAAGACACCTGCTGATGTTACTTCCAGGCCTGGGTGGTTGAAAATTTTTTGTCAACACTTCTTTTTAACAGAAAATTGAGTTTTCAGCTGAATGAAATTTTTTGCAGAAAATGTGTGTTTTCCTTAAAAAAAAAAAAAAAGTTATATTTCATTGGAAAACTGAAAATCCAAATGCCAAAAATTTTCAGCTAAAACCAGAAATTTTGTTGGTTTTCAGGTTTTGGGCTAAAATATCTTCAGTTTTTGACAAAAAGTTGAAATTTCCCACTGAAAAGTTAGATGAAAATGAAAAAGTAGTTTTTATCCAAATTTTCTGAGGAGAATTTTTTTTTCTGACCAGCTCTACTAAGGAATAGGGTTGGAATATAAATTCAAATCCGGAAAGATTTCTAGTGTTGTGCTGCTAACACAAACTATTGACACTTTGCTTGATGTTACAATCTAAATTCTTTGCTATCCATAGTCACCAGAATGGCTGTAGAATGAGCCATATTATGTTCACTAGCTATGACTTTTTGACACACTGTAAGGGATAGGAGTAAGTGCCACACTAAAATGGTTTTATCGCACCAATGTATTCCACAAGTGTTCGTGTTATGCCTATGCCGCTATGCTAATAAGCTTGGATTGTTTCGGTTCACAGTAAAATTTAGTGTTGTGGTTTTTGTGATCTTTAGAAGCTGTTCATGAAGTAAACACATTTCCCAGAGATGTTAGTTTTCTGTATGTTTCTCAAGAGCAAGAAAGCTACATGTGTCCCTTCTGCTTGCACTGAACTAACCCCTCTCCTTACTCTGCCCTGGACCTTTCAGTTGCTAATTACAAATGTGTTCTGCTGCAGAATGAATTGTGCTTGTTTTTACTAAAAATAAAGCTCAGTAAACAACCTTCTGGAGAAGCGAAGGTCAGGGTGATTAAGGGACCTTAGATATGGATCCAAATCCTCTCTTATGTTCTGGCTTCTTTAGGCAGCGTAAAGGGGCCAGAAATCAGGCAGATCAGGCAAGTGAAAATTACCCTGGTGTGCAGGAGCTAGTAATGGGCAGAGCCAGCTGCAGTGGCATTGCCCATTCAGCCCCGCTCAGCATAAGGAATTTGTCAGCGGCACAGCCGAATTGTGCTGTGCTCCATCTATGCTCGGCTGCCAGGTTAAGTTAGAGCACGCCCTCCCCCCATTGTTGCTCTAACCTGCACCAGGGCTGAGGGTCACATGCTCGACCGCTTTTACCGAGTGCTTATGGCCCAGAGTCTCTTCTGTGCTTATTTTTATCTAAGTAGGTCGTTTTGATGTTTTCAAGGGACACCTCTCCTTTTCCAGAGAGAAGTCCTCCCTGCTGTTGAGGGCTGATTCCTACAGCAGTAGCCGGACTAGGCTTACTTCTGGGGGGATTCTGTACCAAAACATTAAAAATTCTGCAAAATTTTGCATATTTTATTTGTCAAAATAATGCAATATAATTACACCAGTTTCAATTGTTTTGGTAATTTATTTAAATTACAATACAGAAAAAACTCACAATAACTATTCAGCATTTCCTCAACACATGAAAGTTAAGTTCCAAACACTTGGTAACTAATACCCTGCATTCCAGTTATAATCCTGGATTTTCATTTAAATTAAATTACAGAACATCAAAGAGCCACACAAAAAAAAAAAAAAAGAAGTAG